CCTGTCCTGTCCAGTGCTTTGAGACAGCCTGCAGGGACGGCACTCAGGTTTTCCTCTAGGTTATGGGATATTTTCAAGAGTGATTTGGTGTTTTCCTGGCAGCGGAGCCCAGGTGCTTGGCGAGGAAGCAGAAAGCCCCAGGCCCTTCCGGTCGCAGGTGGACTGAGCCGAACCCGTGAGTCAGTTCCCAGTGTGTGAGTTGTGTTCCTGTCCAGGCTGACTGTATTTGATCCCCCTTCCAGGTCGTGTGCAGTGGTCTGTGTGCTCGCTGCTGGAAAGGGAGTAAAGGCAGACGAGAAGGCAGTCAGGATGCGAACTATATTGACGTCTTTGTGTGTTTTTTGTTTTTAGTGTGTGGTTGTGGTGCTACCGTTCTGAGGAAAGTTGATAAACTGTTGCCAGATACTCTGGAGGTAACCAGCCACACATTTTTTAAGTTGCTTGCGGCAAGATTCAGATTTAGACCATTTAGATGGACTCTCCAGGCGCAGGTCGAATAGTTTGAAGACCGTTCCCTGTCCATTTCCATCGAGGGGTGAGGCCTGTCAGTTGCACCCGGACCCTGGGCAGCCCCTGAGCCGGGTCAGAGCCCTCTTTGAGATCTCCGAGTTTTTAAATGACTTGAACTGAGCTCGTAGAGTGCATGTGAGCCTCACTGCCTGGACATTTCCCCCCTCTCTCTCTGCTCTGTTTCTGTGAATGCGCACGGTGTTTGACAGCCCAGCTGTTCGCTTGATCCCAGGAGGGGGGCTCGGTGGGTGGAGGTTTTGGCAGGGGGGGGCGGGTCAGCGAATGAATCCTGCATCTCAAGCAGGGAGCGTGACCGGCGAATGGACACTGAGCCTGGCACGATTGCAGCTGGCTGCTGGTAACCTGCTCACCTGCAGTGCGCTGTCCTCTTGTGGAACATGGGTGCGTTCAGCTCTCGCGGCTCGTTAATCGTGAGAGTGGCCCCTGAGCTCTGAACACGTCTGTGCTGCGGAGCGAACCAGTCAGGCAGCAGAGGAGCGGAAAGGGACAGGTCGTGTTTGGGTACTTGGGGGAATTCTGGGAGAGCCTCTGTAACAGTGGGGAAATCCGTGGATTTGGGAATCATTTTGAAGCCGTGCTGTATTTGAACAAAGGGAGTGGTAGTGCTCTTTTCATCGGACTTGGTTCGAGATGAGAGGGGAGCAGACTGCCCCAGAGCTATGCGCGCGCAGGGCGGTTTAGTCAGGTTCGGCGGGCGAGCTGGCGGAGGTTGGCGCTTGTTGTGCGGGTGACGTCGCACCCAGAGGCACTGCCTGAGCGCCAGGTCTGGCCGTAGCTGCGTGTCTGAGGCTGCAGGCAGAGCTGGTTTCGAGGGGTCACCCCGGGTCGCTCACCAGCAGCCTGGTCTGTTCTGGGTCAGGTGGCAGCCTGGAGGCTGGGGGGGGTGGTGGTGGGAAGGTGGGGGGCGCAGGTGTGGGTGGAGCTTGACACTGGACAGCTGTCCTGGTCTCCGTACGAATCCGCACCCCCCCACCTGCAGCCCACTCTCCTCTCCCCCACCACCTCTCTGTTTTCTCTTCTGACTTTCATCTCCTTTCGCTCCCTTATTTTTCCCACCCACCCCGCTCTGCCTTTGCTTCCCTCTTGTCTGGGTTTTTAGCGTTTTCCCGCCATGTCCTGTTGGCCGGCAAATGTCTCCCTCCTGGCTGCTGCCGGGCTCTGTCAGACTTCAAACGGCCCCACCGGGCAGAGCAGACGCCCCGAAGTGCTGGTGATAGATTTCGCACCTCCCACCCCCCTGCACTCGCGCTCAGACGCACAGTCCCTCTGGCACATCTGTGCTGCTTTCCTGGTGAGGAGGCCTCATCGTCTGCCTCAGACTCTCGTTCTCTCTTCTCCGCTCCACAGAAATGACATGGGTGAAAGTAGCCCCAAATTAGTCTTATCTTATCTATTTAAAACCAAGAACAGGAGAGGCTCTTCTGTACCCAGAGAGTGGCGGGAGTAGGGAACAAGCTGCCCAGCCGTGTGGGTGAAGCTAGTACCCTGGTGTCTTTCATGAAACTGCAGGGTGAGATCCTTGGTTCAATTAAATATTAATTAGCCACGAGTGGGCTGAATGACTTCCTCTTATCTGTAACATTTCATATGTTCTTTATAATCATCATGTAATTTGGTATCATGTGGTGATATGCCAGAAGCCATATCACCCTGCAACTCACAGCTGGCAGCCCACTGAAGCTCAGCAGGTGTGAGCCTGGTCAGTACCTG